TAACTTTTTGAATTATATTTTTTGGTGCTGATGAGGGTTTGAATCCTCTAATTACTAACTGTATTTTACATTTCTGAAAGTCCCATTCATTTATTGTTTTAGTTTCTGATAGTATCTCAGCGATTTCTTCTCAGATTTTGGGCTCTTGTAAGCTTCTTTTATTTAACTTCCAGTATGCTGTTTGTGACGAAGCACGGGTTAGGACCAATTCACTTTCGACCAGAAGATGGTCTGAGTTGCCATATCTTGTTACTGTATGTTTGCAGAATTGTGTATAGTTTTTGTCAATGAATATGTAATCTAGCCTTGTAGACATAGTTCGGTTGCCTCTAGTCTTTTGAGAGAAGGTGATGAAGTGATGCTCTTCTACTACATCTGCTGTATTAGTAAATTTTCTCATCAACCTTCTGAGTATTTCTCTTGTGAAGTCGCTGTAAGCACTGGTCTGGCTAATTCTGTTTTCTATATTCAAATTTGTATTAAAATCTCCTGCAATGATGTTGATCATGTTGTGATCGATTTTTGGAGCCTATCTGTTAAAGAATGTGCATCTATCTTCTATATTAGGAGGTGCATATATATTAGTGATATGAAATGTACATTGTTTAAATTGGAAGGTGGCATCCACCTAGTGTTTAAAATCTATATGCGGAATCTGCGGTGCGCAGATTGAAAATTAATTTCGCAAGTAAGATTTTCTTTGAATTTGCAGATTTTATTATATGTCATATATGTCACACATCTATTTTTTGAATTTTTATTATGTTTACAAAAATTATTAAGCTTTTCCACATATTGAAACAAAATCAAATTTTAAACACTGCATCCACCACTCTGCCATCGAATAATTCTTGTACATTACTAAATTTTATATCCTGTTTTTCAGCTAAAATTGCTGTTTTGAGTTCCAATGTGAATCAAATAACTATTATTGTTTAATGAAATCTCTTGTTTTGTTGTCTTTTAAGTTAGTTTTCTGTAATATAACTAAATCTATTTTATATGATTTTAGAAGAGTCATAGTCTTTTGACATTTGTTTTGGTTGTCAAGTCCCTTGATATTCAATGTAGCAACTTTAATTTTGTGTTTATTCATTAATCTAGTTTGGGGTTAGGTTTGTTTGGAGAACTCCTTCCACAGCATCTTGTCTTATTGTAAGGCTTATGATGGTATTGTGGTAAAATATCCTTTGTGTTTTTTGTATGATACTATCGTAAAACTATCCTCAGAAATTTGGCCTTCATCAGAATTTGGAGTTATATTAACTTTTACACCTCTTTCATTTTCGATTGACATCATATTTGCGCTTTGTGCTATCTCATGCTCATTGCTTTTTTCACTTTTGATCATATACTTCAGATTCTCTTCCTCATTTATTGATATAACATCATCTTCTTTCTCATTCTTATCTATCTCTTGTACTGCCTCATTATTTTTGCCCTCATCGTCAGTGTTGTTAACATATGGGTTGTTGTTACTAAAGGTTTGAAAGCTAGGTAAGGACTTCTCTTTAGATTGCCTGTTCTCTTTGTGTTTTTTATATAATTGCTTAGTAACCATTACCTCTTTGTATTGTGGGCAGTCTCTTTTAATATGGCCAGCCTAATCGCAATAAAAACAGATTTTTAATACCGATCACTATTCTGTTAGGACTTTTTGTCTCCAAACACTTGTATGCCTAGAGATTCTATTTTCAAGCTCTGGATCCTTAGTAGTTTTGTACAGTACTATCCATTGGTTAGTGCAGATTGGAGTATCTTCATATACTAATAGTTTGATAGTTTTGATTGATCCAAATACCTCAAACACCTCTTTGATTTTTCCAGAGATAAACTCTTTCTTTCCCATTGGGACGTTTCAGAGTTTAACTGCAAGGTAGGTTTGTCTCAGATTTGTAGGGATGTATCCTAATAATGTTTGTCTGAACAGTTCTATGCCCTCCATGGTGTAGTTTCTTTGCTTGCTTTCATTATTGAATACTATTTCTAGGTGTGTTCTTTTCCTTTTAGAGAAGTGAGGTTTAGTGGCCACGAAATCATCTCCAATTTTTGCATACATTACTAAGATAATTTCATTAATAGACATGTTTTATAGGTCTTGGATATCAAAAATCAAGGTGTTCTCATTTTTAGTATTAATATTTCTCTTTGGTGTGTGTTTGGAAAATGTTGCACATCCTTTCTTTAGTATCGTAAAAAGGCTAGACCATTTGCGTTGTGTACATATTTGACTTTTTCTTCTGGATTAGTTTTGTCAAAAGAGGCTTTCCCACAATCAGAGGTGAGTGTGTTATTTGCATCGATGTTCACTATTTTTTCTGTCGAAACTTGTTGATCACATGTGTTATGTGAATTTCTGTCACCTGATTCTGAATCAGTAGATCTTCTAGCAATTTCTACTACATTTTTCACATCTTTGGTGGGTTTTCTACATTATTTTTTGAAGAAGATGCATCTCCTTGCACATGTATATCTTTTATAATTTCATGCCAATAGCTATTGCTGGTCCTGTTGGCAGTATTTTAGGGATTCTTAATAGTTGTTGAGGTTTGCTTTTGGTTTTCTATGTTGTTGGGTTTGTTTCTGTTTTGTAGATTTATGTTGTGTAATTTCCTTATTTTTTTGTCGAGTTTTCCTTTCTCTGTTGCTAGTCGCTTCCTTTTTCTTGGTATAAGAGCTTTCGCCCTTGCCAAGGTGGTGTTTTCATTGTTGAATCTAGCTTCTTTTAGAATTTTCTTTTCTTTTTTGACACTCTGTTACCGTACCAGAATGAGTGTCTGTCGATCTTTTTCTTTTTCTTTATTGAAATTGAAGTCTTATATACATGTTAAAAATTTACAACGTATTCACAGAATTCCAGTGATTCGCTATATTCTCAATGAAGTCACAGCAATTCCAGTGCATTTGCTGCTATTTTTCGTACAGTACACTATAGATGAGTGCGGGAGAGGGAAAAGGGTGTACTTGTTTTTTTTTTTTTAGTAAGTTATTGATTGAGTACATTTATTCACCGCATGATCAACCAATCAAATTTTAAGATCAGGTGTAACATAGCACAATTAGAAAAATTCAAAACGCTTTGTCAAAAATCATTTATAACACAAAATTTCGTATATGAAACTACTCTTCGTGTTTTAACAAAAAAAAAA